GCATTGGCCTGTGGACTGAAGGGTCCTGCGTTCAATTCCAGTCAAGGGCACATGCCCAGGTTGTGGGCCTGATCCCCAGTAGGGGGCGTGCAAGAGGCAACCAATCAATGATTCTCTCTCATCATTGATGTTTCTATCTCTCTCTCCCTTCCCTTCCTTTCTGAAATCAATAAAAATATAGTTTAAAAAAGGATATATAATATTAAATTATCTGCTCAAAAAATATGTCTACAATCCGCCCCTTTTCTTTATTCCCACTTCCAACATCTTGGTTCTGGGTCTTGTCGTCTCTCACCTGAACCAGCCTCCTAACTGGCCAGGTCTTGCCCAACTGATCTCTTTCAAACAGACAATCCTGTCCCTTTCCTCCCCAAATCCTCTGCAGCCTAGGCATCAAGTTCAAACTCCACAACATGGCCTGCCCAGGACCTGCCAGCCACTGCCATCCCGGCCCCTGCTCTAGAGGGCAGCCACAGGGACCCTGTGCCCTTCCTCTGTGGGCTCGCTTTCCCCGCTCCAGGGCCTCTCCCCCTTCCCGCACCCTCTCCTGGCTAACCTTGGCCCACGCTTCCGGTCTCAGGGTGAACACCTCTTCCTCCTGACGCCTTCCTTGACCCCTCTTGTCTGGTTAGGTCCCACTGTGCTGTGCTTTCAGAGGACCCCCAGACCAGATGCCCCGCTGTCCACTTCTGTGCCTCGTTAGACAGAGGAGGAACAGCATCTGCTGTGTTGGTTTTTGTGGCTCCAGCTCCTGGCTCAGGGCCTACAGATAGTAAACCCTTGGTAAATACGAGCTGAATGAATGGACGAGGTGTGTTGACTTCTGTGCTAAGAGCTCTCAGCTTCCTCCTCTGCTTTATGCATGGAGTGGTCAGCTCTGGCCTCAAAGCGGTGACCCCAGGTGAGTGGTGAGAGCAGAGGGCTGGGGTGCGTTCTGTCCCAGACTAAGAGCATCGCGATGGTGGGAGGGCAACCACAAGAGCATGTGCAGGAGCAGGTTAGAGTTGGGATGAAGCTCAGGCTTTCTCCATGCGCAGAGGGAGGGAGCATCCCCACCTACGTGCGGGGAACCAATCAGGGCTTTTGAAAATGTCCTAACCTGGTTTGACCCAACTAAGCTGGCCCACTTCTCCGGCCCCTCTCTCTGTCCTTTTCTGGTCACATGTTCTCAGAGCTTATGTGTCTCATAGGAAACGTCTGTCAGTTTCATGCTTTTGGTCTTCTCCGAGTTGAGGTCAGAGGCAGCTTGGATTTAAAATTTGCTTTTAGAGCTCTTGGAAGGCCCTCCGCTCTGGGTATTTCTGAGTAGCACCAAAGAGCCCTCCACTTTTGGGCAGGTTCCAGCTCAGGTCATTCTCCTTCCCGTCCGGTCCTTGTACCCGGGCAGACTTGGGCTTGAGAGAGGATGGAATTCTGGGTGAACTGTTTGCTGTCGGGGAGGGTCGCCTACCCACACCCCACCTGGCACAGCCCTCCCTCCAGGCAAGGTCAGTCCCAGCAGCCTCTGCGTTTGCCTCCCGGGAAAGCTGAAGAGCCAGAGTTCATAAAAATTTATCTCATGAACAGCCTGACCTACCAGCATTGATCACATTCGAAATGATGCCTACACACAGTCCCCATTATGCTCAGAGGGGCAAGGCCCAGAGGAGCTCAAAAAGCCACTTAAATCCATTCACGGGTGACTCGTCCAAGGGCCCCAAACACCCCCCAAACTAATAACCCCCAACAAAGCACTGCCGGGAAAATTCCTTGCGGATTTGAGATTTCCACTGTTAATCTCCTAACTCAATAAAGCAAACACTCCTGCCGTAAATTAAGTACTTTTATTAAAGGGTCCCCTCCCCCATCCTCTTTGAGGTGGGCACGGACCCCCTCAGGGCCTGCGTGTCTGTGTAAGGCGCTGGCCCCACTCCCCACCATTTTCTCCTGTCATTCCAAGGAGGCCCAGAACCCATGAGAATGTGTTGATCTGGGGATTCTGGGAACTTCTGAGACCTCTGACTTCCCTGAAGAGATTCTACAGCCTGTCAGCTGAGGGGAATGCTCCCCATTCTTTTGTGGGGGGTGACAGGTCTCAAACAGGCTGGCCCCGAGCACCTCTACCATCCCAGTTTGCCCGAAGGAGTCCCCAGCACAACTGTCTGAGCCAAGGTGGGCTTGGAGGCCAGTGGTCAAACCCTCCTCTGGCCTCTCTAGCAGCTTGCTGGTCACACCCCCAATAGTTAGTGGGAAGCCGGGTGGGGTCAGCTGGAGAGAAGACTAAAGGAGGCTCCCGGGAAGGAGGCCCTGACTCCTCTCCTCCCACTGCTTCCTGCCCCAGGTTGTCCCTCAAGCTGCTGCCTCTCAGATCTGCCAGGAATTGTGTTCAACCATTTAAAGTTACAGTCACCACTTTCCTCTCACTGTTAGGCTGAGGTTATACTGAGGCCCTCCCAGGCCTCCTCAGACGCTGCCCTTGGAAGGCTGCCTTGTGGGAGTCCCACCAGCTGCAGATGGTGACTGGCAGGCACCTTTGTATTTCAGGAGGAGCCTCCTAGAAACGTCATCATCTACAGTTTATCAATGTCATTGCAGGGTCTGTAGTGTGGATGCTCCGTGGATTCTAGAAAGTGGGCATTTGATCTATGGGGATGGGCAATGAGGTCTGAGACTAGACATGGGCATTTGATCTATGGGGATGGGCAATGAGGTCTCTAAAAAATTACATGTGGGTATTCTATCTATGGGGATGGACAGACATTCGGGTCTCTGAGGGACTATATGTGGGTGTTCTATCTATGGGGATGGACAATCGGGTCTCTGAGGGCCCTGAGGCCTTAGCATCAAGGGCTGTGTGGGTGTGAGTGGCAGGCCCTCAGGGAAGTCTGGTTCTGGGAGTTATTGCCAGGGGTTCTGGATGCAGACCTTGCCCGTGGTGGGGAGAAGGCACCCTCCCCCAACTGGGCTCCTGAGAAGGCCATTCTCAACTTTCCTTCTTTCTATTTGTTCGCTTGAACAAGAAAGGCACCTGCTCAGGGAGGCATAGCCCCTCAGAGGCATTAAGCCACAATAGCCCAGACTGGGCCCTGGTCATTTGAATGTCCTCCCAACTCTTGTCAGACCTGGAAAGACTTCCCGGGTTCTGTGGCTGTCCCCATTTATCTCCCATTCAGTGGAATTGCCTCCAGATTTATGTCCTCCCATGGACATCAAGAATTCCTGGAAGTTTGAGGAAGGAGAGAGAGGTGACTGACAAAATGAGGAAAGCATGACAAAGTGCGTTAAGTCTTCAAGTTGGGGAGTCAGACAGGCCTGGGCTAGAATCCATACTCAGCTACCTGCACACTCTGACCCTTGCAAGCTATTTGCCCCTCTGAACCTCAGCATCTTCCTCTGTAAAATGGGGATAATAATGGCTCCCACCTTCTTTAGTGTCATCGTGCAACTTGAATGAGATGAGCCTGTGAACTGTTTAGCACATGCTAAGGGCTCACTGAATGGGCTGATTAGAAGAGGCCTAGTGGCTTCCAGATAGAGATTGGGTCCAGCCATGAGGCTAGAAATTCCTTCCTTCCCTGGGCCTACAGGACTTGCTAGTCCTCCCAAAGGCCTTTCTTCCAGGAGAGATTGGAGCTGGGGGATGTTAAAAGTCATTCCTCTTTGCTCTGCAGAACAACTACCCAGGGGAATGAGATTGGTGGGCAGGGAAGGACCCAGGCTGTGGTTGGAAGCAGCTGCTGGGCTCTGGGCATCATGGCGGCCACCAGGCAGAGCCAGTCCTGGGCACAGGTGGTCCTGTGCATTCTCAACCGGGAGATGTCAGCCCGACAGGGGGAACCTTGGTTCTCAGAGGAGCAAAAACGTTTTAGGTATTACAATGGTTTGTGGCACTCCGAAGCTCAACCCTACCTGACGAAATCTGATTTCTTAGTAGTATTTAATTTCTCTCATTAGAAATAAAGTCAATTATAATTTAACAAAGTTAGCTTACATTAAACTTTCCTTGGGGTGGGGGATGCTAATTGAAAAAAGGTCAAGACTAGCAGGTTTGTGCTCAGTGGATAGAGGGTCAGCCTGTGGACTGAAGGGTCCCATGTTCAATTCCAGTCAAGGGCACATGCCCCCAGGTTGTGGGCTTGATCCCCAGTAGGGAGTGTGTGGGAGGAGCCGATCAATGATTCTCATCACTGATGTTTCTATCTCCCTCTCCCTTCCTCTCTGAAATCAGTTAATATGTATAGATAGAGAGAAAGAAGGTCAAGAAACAGGTGTGGTCTGTCTTCCAGAGTTTCATCTTCCTTCCCAGGCCCCCTCCTCCTCTCACCAGCCCCTCCTGCTGCCTCCTACCATACCCTTCCTTCCCTTGGGTTCCTGGCAGCATTTGGCACTGCTGACCAGTCCAGTTCAGAGGTCACTCTGTCCCAGGGTTTGGCCATCACTACTCCTTGCCCCGATCTCCCCTTGGCTCCCGTGACTTCACCATGTGGTTCCCCCTCCAGCCTTCTGGTCCTTCTCTTCCTTCTACTGCCCCGTAGACAGCTCTCTGCTCCCCACACAAGCCTCACTCTGCTTGTCCTGCCCCAAGCTCCAGCAGCCCCCTGGAGCACACCATCTGGATTCTTCCTGGCACACATTCTCTCCCTTCCTGTCCACCGCAGCCAGCTTGGTGCTTCCCCTTCTGTAGCATTTAGTTTGAACCATTTGACATGAAATAATATATGCCCTTGTATTCGTCTCTCATGATCTCATGGGTGTCGGGTCTATCTTCCCATTTGGATTTTCATTTCTTTGAGGATAAAGACAAAGTCCTAAGTCTTTGCTTGCTCCTTAGTGTCCAACCCAGTTCTGGATACCAAGGAAGGCAGATGGGAAGGTCCTTATGGGCCAGAAAGTGCCCTGCAGAACTCAAGTTGCCAGGTGCCACTGGTCAATGATCCTCCCACGGAAGAGCCAGCTCAGCCTGGGCCTGGGCAGACTGCAGTGGGCAGCCCCTCCCCACCACCACCCACCCGGCTCCTCACCTGGCTGACTCCTTCCACTCCATCTGGTCTCCGTCGTGCTGTAGAGTGTCCATCTCTGTGAAGAGGGTGGGGTTGGGAGCCTCATCGTCCTCCCCCAGGATGTCCTGGAGCTGCTCAGCAGCTGGAGACCCTGCGAACGGACGGAGGACAGCAGGGTCCGCTAAGTGCCCTGTGGGGGACAGAGGGCTGCAAGGCCAATTGAAATGGGGCAGGAGCCAAGCACAAAGGAAAATATTTCCTAAGTAAGTAAAACTAGGTCCGGCTTCTGGGCAAAGCTGGATTCAAGCCTCCGTGAGTTGGATGTGGGTGAGATATTCTTTGGAAGAAGAGAGACGAAAGGATTTAGTCTGCGTTCAAAATCCAGGGTCTTGTAGCTGATAATGAAGGATGGAAAATGGCCAGCGCCAGGGCAGCAGCAAGGACAGAGAACAGCAGAGAAAAGTGAAGTGAGGAAAACTGTGACCTAACTTCAGTGCAACAACCCCAGAGGGATCCCTTTCCCACCGGCCCCAAACCAGTCACCTCCCATCGCTGGCCTGGAAGGAGCGGTCTGCCACGCAAAAGGACGAGCTCGTGCCAGTGAGCCACGTGGGCCAGCTTCCTACATGGGCAAGATGACAGCCTGTTCCTGAGCTCCTGGTCTGCTTTCCAGCTGCCCACTGGTGTCATCTCTCAGATGAGTCTCCAGAACCTCAGAAGTTGGCATTCTGACACTGAACATGTCCCCTTCCCCAGACAAGCTTCTCCTGTTTTCTTTTCCCTCCCTCCCTCCCTCCCTCCCTCCCTCCCTCCCTCCCTCCCTCCCTCGGTGTCTCCCTCCCTCCCTCCCTCCCTTCCTCCCTTCCCTTCCCTTCCCTTCCCTTCCCTTCCCTTCCCTTCCCTTCCCTTCCCTTCCTTTCTCTCAATATTTAATGAATGTGTATTATGCACCAGGCATTGTTCTAGGTCCGTGATGGCGAACCTATGACATGCGTGTCAGAGGTGACAGGCGAACCCATTTTTTTTGGTTGATTTTTCTTTGTTAAATGGCATTTAAATATATAAAATAAATATCAAAAGTATAAATTTTTTTTTTAGCTATGGTTGCAAATATCAAAAAATTTCTATATGTGACCCGGCACCAGAGTTAAGTTAGGGTTTTTCAAAATGCTGACACGCCGAGCTCAAAAGGTTCGCCGTCACTGCTCTAGGTGTTGGAAAACAAAGCTGTGAAGAAGGCTCATATGTCCTTGCTCTCTTAAATAGTGGCAGAGAACGACAATAAACAAATCCATAAATAATTATTTCAGGCAGTGATAAGTTTCTGAAAAAACAAAATAAGATGACCGGGAGCTACATTAGAGAGCATGGCCAAGAGTGGCCTCTTTGGGGGGGGGGGTATTTGAATTGTGATGTAAAAGGAGGAGCGACTGTGTGTATCCGAAGAAAGAGTGCTCCAGTGTTTCAAAGAGGTGGGCACATGCCCAGGTTGCGGGCTTGATCCCCGATGTGGGGCGTGCAGGAGGCAGCCAATCAATGATTCTCTCTCATCGCTGATGTTTCTATCTCTTGTTATCCTTGAACCAGTAAGTTAATGAAAGCAACCAAACCAACAGTACGAGGAAGCTATGGTCTGGCTTATTTCTCTGGGACATCAGTGGTGCTGACCACTCCCTCTGACTGAAATGCTACTCTTGGCTCTCACAGCGCTTCACTTTCTTGATACTTTTTTCTATCTCTTTGAGGACTCCTTTGCCTTATCCTTCCCAGGTCCCTCTTCACTGATTCTCCCCAGGTCACCCATGTCCACAGGCCCTGCCTTATCAAGCATCTCCCACTGCCAACCGGACTGCTCCACCTGGGAATTGTCAAGTCAACCTCAGCATATTCAAAACAGCTCTGCATCCCTCCTTGCAACACCCCAACCCTGCCCTCCTCCGTCTGATGAATACACCTCCAGCTACCCAGCCATCCAGCCGAGAAATGCTGGACTCAACTCCAGAAGCCTCCTTCTCTTTCACCATCCAGGTCCAATCAGACCCTGAGTTCGTTCATTTGCTACCTAAATCCTTTTCATCTCTCTCCCTCTTTCCCCACCCATTGCCACAGTCTTGGTTCAGGTTCCCATTATTTCCTCTTCCAGTCACTGCAATAGCCACCTAACTGCCCCCACAGCTTCTGGGCGCCCCATCCACTCCCCTCTCCTATGTAGCAGCAGTTTTCATTTCAAACATGTTCACATGGCAGACTGCTGAGAATCAGGGCAGCACCATGAACTATTGTGCATATGAGATAGAAATAATTCTACTAGCAGAAAAGACTATTTGTGTATCTGTATATAGTTCAATAGATCTCATTTATTTATTTCACTTCTTAATTTTTCTATTACTTTAAACTTACTTTTTTCCCCATTGGCTTTTTAATAGCTGACACTTGCTAGCAGACATCAGAGGTTTAAGGAAACTTTATAGAAGAAAAACCAACAATTGAACAAATAATCTTACTTTTTTTTTTTTTAATTGGGAGAAGACTGACTGCTAGCACCCTAATTCTCCATGTGATCAGAGTTCAAGAACTACTTTTCTAGAACATAGATTTGGTCATGTTACTTTCTAGGTGAAAAACCTTCAATGGCTCTCGATTACCAAAGCGTAGGCTCTATGACATGGCTCAAAACATTCCTTGTGATCTGGACCTAACTTGTCTTTGTAGGTTCTGTCATGTCCCTCAACCAGATGCCCTCAACCCCAGCCGCCACCAGACTCCAGACTCCAGCCACACTTGAACCCTGATACCCTAGACCCCAGTCATCCTTGACCCCACATGACCTTGACCCAGACACACCAGATCACACACAGTTCTCTGAAAAGGAGGACGAATCACTCCTGGGACTTAGTGCCTACAATTCCCTGAGTCTGGAGCCCCTTTCTCCCTTCCAGGCCAGATAAGAAGGCAAATACATGGGATCATCATGGAGAGACGAGACAGGGCAGAGAGAGGGCCCCTGAGGGACCCCTGTCTGGGCATTACCTGCTCCCTGGAATAGCTGAGTGCTGGGGTCTCCCGCTGTCGGCACTGCCTCTGGCCCCAGCCTGTTTCTGCTGTTGCCACCCCGACCACTGCCTCCACAGGTCCGCTTCCTGGCCAGCACAACAAACTCACTTTTGTTTCCAGTTAAGCACCAGGGGAGGCATGGGGTGAGGAGAGGCAGGCGAAGGGGGGGGGGGGGGGAGAAGGAAAAGTATGAGTGACTGGGAGGCTGGAGAGAGAGGACTAGTTGTGAGAGAGAAGAGAGATGTAGTAAGTGTGAGAGAGACTGTGTATGTAAGAGAGAAAACTATATTGAAAGGGAAATAAAGATACTGTGAGTATGAGAGAAGTGTTACGAGAGAGAGAGAGAGAGAGAGAGAGAGAGAGAGAGAGAGAGAGAGAGAGGGGAGGGAGGGAGACTCTTAGGTGCCCTGGAAGAGAAGGGCTCTGTGGCTGCAACAGAACCTCAAGAAGGCAGCCAGGGGCTCGGAGGGGACTGGCAGAGCTGCCCCTCCTCCTCCCCCATGAGCCCTCCCCTCAGTGCCCGGAGCTCCAGGAGAGCCGGGCACCTCTCCTCAGACCCCTTTATAAGGCAGAGGTAGGATTTGCCTTGAGACTCCCTGGGGCCTCCTTAAGAGCCTTGGCCGGCAGGTGAGCTGGCTGGAGTGGCCTAAGCCCTGATGTGGAGGTGGGGTTGTTGGGGAGAGGGTTGCTGGCGGGTAGAGGGGGCCTCACATTTCACAGCAACCACGCCTGGAGCTAGTTTCTCTCCTCCTAACTTTAAATGCTTCTCTTCCTCTTCAGCTACTTCTAAGACAAGTCCCAAATGTCATCACTCAGTGGGTGTTTTCTGAGAGTCCCTGGACGGACGGTGGGAACCGGTCACTTCAGGGTGTCCCGCAAACCCCACCGGGGAATTACTGCTCTGCCCAGAAACTCCTAATCTCCTGGGTTCAGTTCAACAAGTGCTTACTGGGCACTTAGAATGTGCCAAGGTTGATTAGAGGTCACTGCTCCAAGGCGCTCTGAACCCTGAATTCACGAAGGCTTAGAGCCGGAAGGGAGCTTAGCAGTCGCCCAGCCCAAAGCCTTCATTTCACGGGTGAAAAAACCAAGACCCACTTTATAGCACAGAAGGTCCAACAGGCCCGGCGAGGGGAGTCTGGAGGAGAGCCCAGCCTGCTGACCGCCGCCCCTCACCGCCCTGCTGGCTGCCTCACTTACCACATTTTCAGACCTGAGGCCCGAGGGTCAAATATGGTCACTTTAAAGCTGAGAAAACATCAGCAGAGGGTCAGGGCATGTGTTCAGCTGCAGAATCTAAGCCAACCCCACCATCAAGGAGCTCCTTCCTTGGCAGGCTCCATCGCAGGCCGGACAATGAGGGGCTGGGTGCCTCCGAGCTCCCAGGCGCCACAGCTCACACTGCACAGTGGGTGCTGCCGGCCCAGCACCTCCTGTGCACCACAGGGCAGCCACTGCACACCGCACCTCAGGCACTGAGGGTGACCTGGACCCTCCGAGAAATACCAGAGACCACCAAGGATGCCAGAGGATTCTCTCTACTCGTGTGGTACTGCCTCAGCCCAGATCTGGCTTCCACTCCTGACTGCTAATTATGGGCAGTAGGATCTGGGCAAGGCAGTAAGCTCTCTGAGCCTTCGTTTCCCCATCTAAAAAGCAGGAATTTTCACACTTCCCTCACTGGGTTGTGCGGGACAATGAGATACTATATGTGGTGTGGTTGGCACAGTGCTTGGTACACATCAGTCACTCTAGAAATGATTTCACGATTTTTGTTGTTGCCAACAAGTGACACCTTCCTCCCTTATGACCATCACCAGTCTGGCCTAATACTCCAAGGGCTCAATCCTTCTTAACTTCTAGATGGCCATGCTACTCCCACACTGCTCCCCTACCCTGCACCCTGCACCCCTCTCCTCTTTCTGCTCCTTCCTCCCACCCAGGGAAGGTGTAGCACACCAGGTGCTGGGCTGCTGGACCAGGTGGCTGTAATGTACAGCATTATATAGCATTTAGTGACTCACACACCTTAGCGTGCCCAGCAGTCCCGGTTTGCTTGGGACTGACCTGGTGTTAGCACTGCAGGTCCCACGTCCCTTGTCTTGGGAAATCCCTGGATCCCAAGCAAACTGAGGCAGTTGGTCATCCCACAAACATCTTTCCGTCTACAGATGAGGATACCAAGGCCCAGGGACTGCACAGCCAGGTCGGGCTTGGCTGGTTGTGTTTCTCTTGGATCTTGGCTCCAGTTCTTATTACCAGCCTAGAGAAGTGGAAATGCAACCACATTTCGAAAGCTGCTTCTGTCCACGTGATCCTCATAGCCTTTCTAGAGGTCCTCAGGGCCAGAAAAGGCATTCTCTCCAGGGCAGGAAGCATCGCTCTTACTGGTTCTCACCACAGCTGGATAGTTCTATTCCCCATTTATGCTCTGCTTGAGTTTAAATCGATTGGTTGCAGAGTATTGACTTCCTAAAATGATACTCACACTAGAGGCCCGGTGCACAAAAATTTGTGCACTTGGGGGGGGGAGGGGTCCCTCAGCCCAGCCTGTGCCCTCTCTCAGTTTGGGATCCCTCAGGGGATGTCCACCTGCTGGCTTAGGCCCACTCCCTGGGGGATCGGGCCTAACCTAGCAATCAGACATCCCTCTGGCAGCCTGGGAACCCTTGGGGGATGTCCACTTGCCAGCGGGGAGCAGGCCTACACTGCAGTCAGACATCTTTAGTGCTGCTGAGGAGACAGGAGAGGCTCCCGCCACCACTGCTGTGCTGGCAGCCATCAGCCTGGCTTGTGGCTGAGCAGAGCTCCCCCTGTGGGAGCGCACTGACCACCAGAGGGCAGCTCCTGCATTGAGCGTCTGCCCCCTGGTGGTCAGTGTGTGTCATAATGACCAGTCATTCCCAGTCCTTCTGCTGTTACAGTCAATTTGCATATTACCCTTTTATTATGTAGGATAGAGGCCTGGTGCACGGGTGGGTGCTGGCTGGTTTGCCCTGAAGGATGTCCCAGATCAGTGTGGGGGTCCCTTTAGGGTGCCTGGCCAGCCTGGGTGAGGGGCTGATGAAGGCTGCTTGCAGGCTGGCCAAACCCCCCAGCGGGGACCCTCACCCCATGGGGGTGTAGCCAGCCTGGGTGAGGGGCTGAGGGCTGTTTTCAGGCTGGCCATGCCCCCCAGCGACCCAAGCCCCCAGCCTCTTCTTTTTTTCTTTTTTTTCTGGGATTTATTTATCTTCTATAATTGAAATTTTGTAGCCTTGAGCCGAGACCAGGGCTGGCCAGGGCAGGAGGGAAGCTTGGCTTCCTCCATCGCTGGGGGCAACCCAAGCCTCCTGCTCACTCCAGCTCTGTGGCTGCCGCCATCTTAGCTGGGTTAATTTGCATACTCACTCCTGATTGGCTTGTGGGTGTGGCTTGTGGGCGTGGCTTTAGCATAGCAGAGGGGTGGCTAATTTGCATGTTTCTCTTTTATTATATAGGATTGGGGGAAGGGGCAGTATGGAGAGAGAAAGAATAAACAAGCCCACTGCTGAGGCATATTCACTACCTACCCATTCCTTTCACCACAAGGCAATCGGCTGCTTGGAAACGTGCCATTCCCAGCCTGTGTGGAATATGGTGACTGAGCAATGAGGTCTTACAAAGGACAGCATTGGGGCGGGAGGGGCACCCACAGGCTTTGGAGTCAACAGACCTGTTTTCAAATCCCAGCTTCACTGGTTACAGCTGCATCACACTCATCCCTTTGAGCCCTGATTTCTCTATTTGAAGATGGGAGAGTAGTAGCTCCCTGTTATGAATGCTATACAATTAGTTAACAAAATTATAATGAACTGCCATTTCGTGGTACAAAACTCCTTCACATACACTGCCCTGCAGGATCCAGGCCGTTCCTCCGTGAGGCGGGAACTAAAGGTGTCTCCTGTCAGTTCTGCATCTGCACAGCCTGCCTTACGCTCCGGCCCTGCCACATCTAACCACCCTGGCCCGGCCCAGGCCCCCACATTCTGCATGGACCCCATCCGGTGTAGTGGGAGTTCCCACTGGGCCTACGTGGCCAGGCCAGCTGGACCTCCTGCCTGGGCTGTCTGGATGGATTCGCAGAATATACAGGACACTCCGCGAGGAAAAACACATGTGCTCAGGTGCTCTACAGCAAGGAGAAGTGGGAGACTCAGACAATTATCTAGATGGTGCAGGTAAAAGGGTTCTGGCAAAAAAAATAAAAATAAATTTAAAAAAATATATATATATATGCACATGTACATACATATATATTTAAATTTCAGAGAGGAAGGGAGAGGGAGAGCGAGAAACATCAATGATGAGAGAATCATCAATCGGCTGCCTCCCATAAGCCCCCTACTGGGGATTGAGCCTGCAATCGGGCATGTGCCCTGCCTGGGAATTGAACTGTGACCTCCCACAGGGACCAGGCTATTTGGGCGTGTCCTGCTCTCCTCTGGCAGGTCATTGTCCCTGACCCTGTGAGGTTGTGGAGCTGTCCGTATCTGCACCACACATGCAGTGCCCCATAGCGGAAGGAGTGAATGACTGAGGGGTCACTCTACCACCTTCTCACCCCATGGAGAATGGCAGGAACCAGCTCGGCCCCCAGGCTATAGACAACAGCTGTGGCTGCTGACTTTGTTAGCAGCTCTGTGGCTCCCTTAAGTCAAGCGCATCTAGAACTGCGTCTGGAATGTATTCTTAGGAGTAGGTGGGTTCTATGGAAAGTTTTAAAGTTTGTGTTTCTATTTTGATGATAATCTTTAAAAGATCTCTTTTATCGCTGCAAGGGAAAAACTTTTCTATTGTTATCATTCAAAACTGGAACACATTTCTATGGGCTAAAACCTTAATGAAGATATTATTTCTCAAACTGGGACCCAATGCCCCCTGGGGCTCTACAAATGTGCAAATACATTTTCATGGATCCACAGACGTTATTTTCTTTTTAAAAGGTGTCCCTACTTTACTTCAACTTGAAAGATACAGCCTGACATGCCCTGTCCTCCTAGGCTCTCCCATTCTCCCTCCCCCAGTTCCATACCCATTCCAGGGACAAGCCAGTAACACATGCACGTGGTATGGGAACAAATGTATCAAAGGATTCCTCCCATTCTCTCTCCTTTGGTTTCCAGGTAAAAGCAGTGTCCCTTTAATTGAACCAGAAACCACCAAAATAATCCACCATTCATGACGCCATGCGATGCACCATGTCACATCAAGAAATGCTACTTACATCCTGGCCGGTGTGGCTCAGTAGATTGAGCATCATCCCATGCATAGAAAGGTCACCCGTTGATTCCTGGTCAGGGCACATGCCTGGGTTGCAGGCTCGATCCCCAGTAGGGGGTGTGCAGGAGGCAGCAGATTAATGTTTCTCTCTCATCATTGATATTTCTATCTCTCTCTTCTCCCTCCCCCTTCCTCTCTTTCTAAAATCAATAAAAACATGCCACTTATTAGCTCTCCTCCAAACCCTCTGAGCAGAGAGCGCCAACTCTAAACCATGTGTCTCTCCCCTGGCTCAGGAGGGACCCAGCAGACTCAACTTGCAGAGGGTGCCTTTACCCCTGAATGTGGTGGTGGCAGTGGGGTGACAGGGAAATGCCCCTGAAAGCGAGCCTGAGGCATCCAGTTCCAATGTGGGGAGCACCCAGTTCCCACCAGGTATGATCTCCACTGCGTCTCGATGTTCTTACCCCTGAGCATGTGTGTGTGCACATGCATACGCATGTGTGTTTGTGTGTGTGTATGTGCACGCGTGTGCACGCACACAGATGTATTTTAATCAGCACTTCTCTCCTACCCTGGGCATGTCCAAAGAACTCCCCATTAACCCATCTCCCCTGTAGACGCGCTTACCCTGGGAAGGCCACAGGCCTGGTAGACTGGGTGCCTGAACAGTGGTTCGGGGCAGCAGCAGGGTTGGAGGGGCTCTGAAGGCTTTTGGGAGCATGTATGTCAGGTCTTCTCCCATGGGGACACTAAAACCCTGTGATTGCCTCTGGCATGCCTCTGAGGGTTTAGATGGTAAAGTCACTAATTTTGCCTTGCTCAAGACAGTAAAAATATGTAAAAAAACAATTAAATGTCAGTTAGGCAGGTTTGGGATATGATGGGAGTACATATTTGTCCCTAGAAATAGTAAAGTCACAAAAGAATACAATGTCTCAGCCGTGCTCTAAGAACTCCGGTCGTTTACTCCTCTTAAGACTGAGAGCTTTCTTTCCACTTTCCACGGGAAAGAACAAAAGAATGATTTGTAATCAGCCCAGAACTGATTTCTGTAGCCGCAGAGGAAGCCCCGGGGCTCTGTGGGCCTGGAGAAAGCGTCCCAGGGCTCCACAGCCCCCCTGCAGGTCCTGGACAGCTCTGCCCAGTTCCTCACCCACGGGCAGGTAATGACGAAGCAATTCCGTCTGCTGAGCACAGTGCCTCACACCCAACGGGCGTGTTCGTATTGGTCCTTAGGGCAACGGCCAGGTGGCCCCTAGGAATTTAGAAATGAAGGAAATAATTCGGAGCATTAAGCCATGAAATCAGCATGGAATGGATCAAGCAGAGGACTGAACTCCCCCCAGAGAGAGGCGCTCAGCTTGACTAAAGGCGGCCGGGGCAGCGAGCCCACCCGCAATGGCAGCGGCGGAGAGAGGGGGACTGGGACACCGGGCCACGTCTCAGGAGGCGCCCTCCTGCCCGGCCATGCCCCGCCTGCACCCACAGCAGACGGCCCCCCAGAACGCACCCCTCAAGAACTCACGGGTCCTGCTGGCACGGTCCGCACTGCTGTCCCCGCTGCTTGCCCTGCTCCCCGCGCCGGCCGGGTCCCTGTCCGGCCACAGGACCCAGCGGACCTTCTGCTGGCCTGAGGGCTGTCCCTTCTGGTCTCTCTTCCTTTGAAGGTAACTGGGGACGGAAAGCCCAATGTGGATGGAATGGCAGTCTGTGGGCACAACACAAGACGGGGGAGCCAAGAGTTACTAAAAGCTGGCATTTCTCCTTAACAGCCTCCAGTCCCAAAGAGCTAAGGCCAAGAGCAAAACCCGAGACGTGGGATTCCTGGCCAGGGCACTGCCCGAGGCATGGGCTTGACGGAACCCCACTCCAAACAACTCCGTGTTGCAGAAAAAGCTGCCCTTGGCGCTGCAGCCAGAACTCTGGCAGCATGAGCAGAACCCCCAGCTGCCTGCTCATCCAGGCAGCGATGACCACATATGGCCTGTGACAGGACAGAGGCCCTCAGGGGGTCCCAGGCTTAGTCCCAAACACCAAGCCCCTCCTTGGCTGTCCCTAGAAAAGCCACGTGCACCTTATCGAGGGCCATTTTTACTAACAACCAAGGGCTACATGAACCACTTACCAGAAGAGCACGTTATTAAGGGTTTCTCGAAGCTGGTTGTGTAAACTAGAATTTTCAAGAACTATAGTTACCAGGAACCTTAAATTCAGAATTCTACTAGGAAGCCTGGCTGCTGCGCAAACCGCCACCACCCTCCCCCTCTCCCCCCACCAACCACCCCCCAGGCCGGGGCCACAGGGACAGCGGAATTCTCCCCGCCCTCAGGAAGGACTGCTGCTACCAGCTTCTCATCGGTGTTGTCTTGCAGTCAACAATTTTTAAAAATAATTAATAGACTGTTCAGTACAGTTTTAGACGTACGGAACAGTTGAGCAGATAGTACATAGACTTCCATGTGCCTACCCCCCCTGCCCCCACCTCCACAAAGTTCCCTCTTTTTTTTTTAATTGAGGTATAATTGACATATAACATTGCATTCATTTCAGGTGTGCAAAATAATGATGTGATATACACTGAGTGGCCAGATTATTATGACCACCCCATCAGTACAATGAAGTGAATTAGTTATGCAAATAATAATAATAATAATAATAATAAAACCTTGAGAGTATTTGCTTAGGAAGTTTTCAATATTCAGTATTTTGGGAAATGTCAATGAAGTACTGATGGGGCGGTCATAATAATCTGGCCACTCGGTGTATGTATACACTGTGAAGTGACTACTACAGTAAGTTTAGTTAATATCCATCATGACATAGTTACTTTTTTTTTTCTTATGATGAGAACTTCTAAGATCTACTCTCTTAGCAACTCTCAAGTATACACTACAGATCGACTATCACCACCATGCTGTACACTACATCACCAGAACTTACCTTATAACTGGAAATGTGTGCCTTTGACAGTCCTTACCCATTTTGTCCGTTCCCCACCACCTGCCTTTGGCAGCCAGTAATCGGTTCTCTTTTCCTATGAGTTGGGTTTTTTAGATTCCACATATAAATGAGCTCATGCGGTATTTGTCTTTTTCTGTATGACTTATTTCACCTAGCATAGTGCCTTCAAGACCCATCCACGCTGTTGTAAATATCAGCATTTCCTACTTTCTAATGACTGAATAATATTCATACATATAAACAGTGCTGGACATTGTTGTTTCCATACCTTGGCTCTTATGAATAATGTTGCAATGAACACGGGGTGCAGACATCTCTTCGAGATAGTGATTTTGTTTCCTTCAGATACCACAGTATATACCCAGTTGTGGGATTGCTGAATCATATGATAGTTGAATCTTTAATTTTTTGAGGAACTTCCATACTGGTTTCCATAGTGGCTATACCAACTTACATTTCAACCAACAGTGTACAAGGGTTCCCTTTTCTCCACATCTCCGTCAACGTTGGTTATCTGTTGTCTTTTTTATAATACTCATTCTAACAGGTGTGAGGTGATATTGCATTGCGATTTTGATTTGCATTTCCCTGATGATTAGTGATGTTTAGCACCTTTTTAAGTACCTGTTAGCCACTGGATATCTTCTTTGGAAAGGAATCTATTTAGTTCCTCTGCCCATTTTTTAATTGAATAGGTTTTTTGGGGGGCTGGGGGTTGCTATTAAGTTGTATGAGTTATTTGTATATTAGTAATTGGATGCTAACCCATTATAAAAGAGGTGATTTGCAAATATTTTCTCTCATTCTGTAGTTGCCTTTTCATTTTGTTGATGGTTTCCTTTGCTGTACAGAAGCTTTTTAGTTTGACATAGTCCCACTTGTTTACTTCTGTTTTTGTTGTCTTTGCTTTGGGTGTCAAGTCCAAAATAAATAAATTGTTGCCAAGATCAATGTCAAGGAGGGTACCCCCAATATTTTCTTCTGTGAGTTTATGGTTTCAGGTCTTATAGTCAAGTCTTTTATCTATTTTGAGTTGATTTTCATGTTTTGTGTAAGATAGTGATCCAGTTTGTTCTTTTACATGTGACTGTCACATCACCATTTACTAAAGAGACTATTCTTTCCCCAATGTATATTGTTGGAAGTTGAACATACGTGTGTGGGTTTATTTCTGGTCCCTCTGCTCTGCTCCATTGATACATATCTTTTTAATGCAAATACCATACTGTCTTGGTTACTATGGCTTGGTAATATAGTTTGAAATCAGCACACAGGATGCCTCCAATTTTGTTCTTCTTTCTCAAGATTACTTCGACAATTTGGAATCTTTTGTGGTTCCCTACAAATTTTTGAATTATTTGTTCTATTTCTGTGAAAAATGCCATTGGGATTTTGATAAGGATTACATTGAATCTGTAGATGGCTTTGGGTAGTTTATACACTTTAACAATATTAATTCTTTCAAACCATGAGCATAAGATATCTACCTTTTCATTTATTTGTTCTACTTCAGTTTCTTTTATCAAAATCTTAGTGTTTTCGGTGTACACGTCTTGCACCTCTTTGGTTAAATTTTTTATTCCTAGGGAGTTTGTTCTATTTGTTGTAAGTGGGATTGTTTTCTTTCTCATAGTTTATTAGTGCACAGAAATGCAACGGACTTTCCTATGCTGACTTTGCACTTTGCAACTTCACTGAATTTGTTTATTGGTTCTAACAGGTTTTTGGTGAAGTCTTTAGAGTTTTCTATATATGAGACCATGGCATCTGCAAATAGAGACAGTTGCATTTCTTTTCCAATTTGTATGCTTTTTACGTATTTTATTTTTGCCTAATTGCTCTGGCTAGGACTTACCGTGCTATGTTAATAAGAGTGGTAAGAGTGGGCATCCTTATCCTATTCCTGATCTTGGAGGAAGAACTTTTGACTTTTCCAGATCTACATTGGCTTGATATATTTTCACGGAAGGGAGGACTGCCCCTGGGCTCAGACTCCTGAAATGCACGTGCGGATGCACACGCTGAGTGCAGACATCACACAGACGTTGCATCAAGCTGAGCCTGGGAGAGTCACTGCCCTGCAGGCTCCCTGGCTCGTCCTTCACTTGTCTGTGGTCATGGACATCGTCCTCTCTGGGACTCGGTGTCCTCATCTGTAACGCAGGAATACAAAGTCCTTTCTTTACTGGCTGGGCAAGGTTTTTCAGAAGATAGAATGACATGGTGTATGGGAACATGATTATGAAATTGTAAGGGGCTAGATACGTAAAGGGACTTATTAAAGAAATCAGGGGAGGTGGTTGTCAGGGACATAGTTCACTTTCCACTCTGCATCTACCTTGTTCCATGTTTGTTTGTGTGCTTTTTTAATATTTTCCTTCATGATCTTTATTTTATTTTTTTAATCCTCACCCAAGGATATTTTTCCATTGATTTTAGAGAGTGGGAGAAGGAAAGACAGAGAGAAATATCAATGTGAGAGAAACACATTGATTGGTTGCCTCCTGCAGGTCCCTTGACCAGGGCCTGGGCCCAGGAGGAGCCTGCAACCAAGGTACATGCCCTTGACTGGAATCGAACCTGGGACCTTTTAGTCCACAGGCCAACGCTCTATCCACTGAGCCAAGCCAGCGAGGGCCATGTTTGTTTCTTTTTCAGTGTCTTTTATTTTTTGGCTCCCATCATCAGAGCATGGCCATTAAGCTGGTGAACCATGGGGAATGGCTAACCCTCTTCCTTCTTTGCTCTGTGGGACCTCTTCTCCCACAGCGAACAGTTGCAGTTTGCTCGGGGCAATGCCAAGTTCTCCCAGGAACTCCTCACTGCATTCTTCTCCCGTGGCAGCCTCAGAGTGTCTCTTCACAGTCTGCAGCTCAGCAAGCTTCCAGCTGGGCAGCGAGATCAGCCTTTGCCTCCACGTGGGGCCACAGCCTGTCTGGTTGCCTCTTATAAGCCCTGTGGCTGCCTCTCTGAGTGTAGGATCCTTGGGGCCTCTGAGTCAGCAACGGAAATACCTCCACTCAACACTCCTTGCACTGGTTTAGCTGAACTGCCATTTTCAGAATCTATAAAAGGTTGATATTTGGCATTAGTATGGTTTGTAGATGTTGTAAAATTAGGTGAGTTTCATTTTGTGCCCTAATCCATACAAGCAAAGTGCCACTTTCCTGTTCCAGCCTGACCACGTGGTCCCTTTAAGACACAGGGAATGCTGGCTCCACAGGATCGAGAAGAGACAATGTGGGTGAGTCAGGAAAAGGGACCAGCTCTGCAGCTTCCCCAGCTGGAAGGGTGGGTATAAGAATATTCAAGGGATTCTCAGACCCTCCTGGGCTCTGCATCAAGTTCTCAGGGCGACCTTACCTTCCTGGTCCTGGCATGGCCTCCTGTAGCTAGCAGGGTCCAGCTCCCCTACCCCAGCCTCCTCCTCCTCCACCTTCATGACTGTAAAGTAGAAGACGAACACAGCCTCAGTATGTGTGCGACACGAGAAGCTAGACTTTCAAGGAGAAATGGTTAAATCCACACGCATAGTGGGAGACCTTAACGCAGATGAAAAAATTCAGGCAAAAGAATGTACAGTGGGGCCTTGACTTATGAGTGTCCCGACTGACGAGTTTTTTGAGATACCAGCTGTCTCTCCGCCGATTTTTTGCATTGAGTTGACAGAGTAATTTGAGTTAACGAGCTCCTTAACGAGCTCGGTCTCGGAAGGAATTAAACCGTAAGTCAAGGCCCCACTGTCCAGCCGTGGGCAAACTACGGCCTGCGGGCGGGATCCGGCCTGTTTGAAATGAATAAAACTAAAAAAAAAAAAGACCGTACCCTTTTGTGTAATGATGTTTACTTTGAATTTATATTAGTTCACACAAACACTCCATCCATGCTTTTGTTCCAGCCCTCCCGTCCAGTTTAAGAACCCATTGTGGCCCTCCAGTCAAAAAGTTTGCCCACCCCTATAGACAAATTGAAGAAGCTCAACTATCTCCAACAAAAAGAGAACACACCTGTTTTTTCCATTACCAGTGGAGCATTTACAAAGAGAGCATGTTTACTAGGTCACAGAAAAGCCCTAGTACATTTTGAAGAATTAAGAATTTTGAGAATTAAGCAATTTTTTCTGTGTCACAAAGCCAGGCATGGTGGAGCCAAGATTAAAATTGGAATCTCCCTGATTCCTGGATCCAAGGAAGGGAGGGAGGAAGAAGAGGACAGAAAGAAATGAAGACATGAGAGATGGGAGGAGGGGTGGTCTAGATAAGCCTCCCACTTCGGGGTTCCAGGCCCTTCCTAAGGCCTAGCTGAATTCCTGACACTCCCAATGGCCCTATAATACCCCCTTTTCTCTTCAGCTACCTTCAGTTGATTTGAGTTACTCGTATCCAAAGAGTATTCACCAGTACAACCATCCACAGTAAAATGTTACCTAAGGAATTGTGTCAGCAACACACCAGCCCCTGCCATGTAGCAAATGAAAGAACTTGTACCAGCAGTTTTCCCTACACCAGCCCCTCTACTGTCCAACTAGCCACCGGTTATTTTCCATCCATCTTTAGATCATAGATGGTATTGGTGGGAAACATGGCTTCACAGTGAGAGTTCAGATCAAATTATCTTCTGTTCTCAGTCACTTAAGGGCCCCATTCCACTTTACTGCCCCTGCCAGCAGCCTGGAATCATACCTGGGGTCCCTGGGAATCCAAACCCGACTGTAAGGTTAAGGACTGGGTGCCACACCCACAAGCAGACACTCGGGGCCCCTGCCCAGCAGCCTTCTCATCCTCTGCAGCAAGGAGATGGAGGTACAGCCAACCTTATGGATGGCCAGCACATTTTGACCATCAAAACCCTAGTGACTGAACCACCTGCCATTGAACACTCTCCCCACCCCCATCCACAGGGTGCATCAACGTAGTCCAACAAAACCACTTTGTTCCAGATGTTTGCATAGACACTGGAAGCAGAACAAATAGTTCAATTTCTAGGGCATAATATGACCTTATTGAAATAATAAGCCCTCACGATTAGGCATCGTGTCTCTGGAAGAAAATGAACTAGGTCGTGCCATGTTCATCAGCCTTTTGAGAGCTTTTTCTTCCATCCTATCTTTTAAGCCATTTGACCTTATTATCTCTAAGAAAATGGGACTAGCCCAGCAACGCACCCAGTGAGCCCCTCTGAGAGCCCAAAGTAGTCCATTAAAGGGCTCATGTGGGATTATTTTATAAACTGAATTGACAAGAATGACATAGGGCAGCGGTTCTCAACCTGTGGGTCACGACCCCTTTGGGGGTCGAACGACCCTTTCACAGGGGTCGCTTAAATACATCCTGCACATCAGATATTTACATTATGGTTCATAACAGTAGCAACATTACAGTTATGAAGCAGCAACAAAAATAATTTTATTGTTGGGGGTCACCACAGCATGAGGAACTGTATTAAAGGGTCGTGGCATTAGGAAGGTTGAGAGCCACTGACATAGGGTCATGCTGGGCTTTTAAAAGCTAAGCTAGAGCCCGGCCAGTGTGGCTCAGCAGTTGAGCATTGACCCAGGAACCAAGAGGTTAGCGTTGACCTATGATCCAGGAGGTCACGGTTTGATTCCCAGTCAGCCTCGATCCCCAGTAGGGGCCGTGCAGGAGACAGCAGATCAATGATTCTCTACAGTCATTGATGTTTCTATCTCACTATACCTCTCCTTTCCTCTCTCTCTCTACAAATCAATAAAATCATTTTTAAAAGTATTTTAAAAAAATAAAAAGCTAAACTAGAAGCTAGAGAAAGGCCACCCTCCCAGCATTGCACCTGCACCTTCCCCTTCCCCACCCGCCACCCCACGCATGCCCCAGGAGAGGAAAGACAAAGCAAGCAAACAGAATAACCCTAAGCAAACCACCAGTAACAAAACCAGGGACTGCATTCAAGGCCTAACTACAGAAATGCATAATGAAAGGAGGCCAGCCATGATTCAGTTTCTATCCCGAGATGTTACATTAACAGATGTGATTTATTTTCCCATAGTTTTCCTGGAAAGAGGCAAATCTCAGGGGGTTTTCCTACTTTATAAATATTTCAGCCAGTCTCATAAATTTGGCAAAGACGATAGAAATGCACATGCCTAGAAGAAATGATTCTCAGCTCCATCAGAGGAGAACCAAAAAAACCCTAACTCCCCAGGGTGTCGGAGGGAATGAGTCTCCTGTCATTTCTATTCGTGTGGCATGATGTTTTGTGGCCCAAACCAGCAAACTCAAGGCACCAGGTGACTAATACATCCTTTTTAAGGAGAGGCAAATGTCCAATGGTCATTGGGAGCAGTTACCCGGCTTTCGTGGTGTTTTCCTTCTCCGCGCGTGGGGCGCAGCCTGCGCTCTCACTGCGAAGCACGTGTCCCTGTGCACAGCCTGTCCACTCCCCCCGAAGCTCCGAGAGGCAAACTTACCGCCACAGTCTCAGCACCAGAAACCACGACCCAAGTCTCCGGAGGCCAGACTCCCTCGCTCTGTTGCTGTTGGATGGCAAGAAGGACACACTGTGATTTCTAGGCTGAACAGTATTTGGGGCATAGGAGATTGACTTGTGGGCTCGCGGCGGCCAGCCATGTGACCAGGGTGGGGGGAGGGACAGTCCTGCAGGGTGAGCCTGTTGGCTAACAGACCGGCGTAGTGCAGGGTCTTAACAGAGCTGGCCGAGACCATAGGCAGATGTCTTTGCTCTAAATTTCTTCTTGGATTTTAACTTGGTGGTATTTTATTTTATTTTTATTCATTTATTTTTTTTAACTTGGTGATCTTTTTATGGGAGTGTTGGGACTCAGCCTGGATTCTGAAGGGTTGGTTTATCTCCCTGCATAGTTTCTATTCCAGATACTTTTTGGATTCTGTCTTACAGGGATGTTAGAGGTGGAGGTCTAAGAGTCCTTACAGATGATCCAGCCCAACCCCAGAGTCACCCATTATTATAGACAGGTGGTGGCTTATCCAGGAGCCTGCAGAGGCCTGGGTCTGGTATTACTTATTGAGGTGACCCTGATGGCTGGCACCCAAAATTACAACTTCCTTGAATGTCTTTAACCTGTAGGTCGTTGCATTTGAGAACTGCTGAGGTGCCAATAGACCTTACCACATTGTAGGTGCCTAAATATGCACCTATCAGATTGGGACATGGCTTAGAAGTTTGGCAGTCTGTACTCGTGATCAATGAATGAGTTTGTATAAACGTGTGTACTTATGTTTCTTATCTTTATCGCAATCTTCATTAAATACTCCAAGGTTATCTTTTTTGAGGGAACAGGGGAGATCAAAAGCTGGAGAGGTCCTGGATCTCAAAGACTTGAAGACTTTTCAAGACCAGAGCCTTGTGAGTAACCTTCTAGTTCACTTCTGCCTCCCCACCCACATGGTCCGTGCTGGCTGCCTGCTAACAAAAAGGGAAGTAGTAGTAGTGATGATGGAAATGACAGAGGTGAAAGTGGTAGGTGTGGCAATATGGTAATTGGGCATAAATTGAGGTGGTGAGGTGTAGATGAAGGTGGTGAGGTATAGATGGAGGTGGTGAGGTGTAGGTGGAGGTGGTGAGGTGTAGATGTAGGTGGTGTGGGGTAGATGGAGGTGATGAGATGTAGACAAAGGTGGTGAGGTGTAGATGAGGTGGTGAAATATAGATGGAAGTGGTGAGGTGTAGATGGAGGTGGTGAGGTGTAGATGGAGGTGGTGAGGTGTAGATGGAGGTGGTGAGGGGTAGATGGAGGTGATGTGGGATAGATGGAGGTGATGAGATGTAGACAAAGGTGGTGAGGTGTAGATGGAGGTGGTGAGGTGTAGGTGTAGGTGGTGAGGGGTAGATGGAGGTGGTAGATGTATAGCTGGAGGTGGTGAGATGAAGATAGAAATGGTGGAGGCAGTGGGGGTGGTGGAGGAAGAGATGAGAAGACCTCTTAAATGATGGTGTAGGACAGTGATGGCGAACCTTTTGAGCTCGGTGTGTCAGCATTTTGAAAAACCCTAACTTACTCTGGTGCTGTGTCACATATAGAAATTTTTTGATATTTGCAACCATAGTAAAAGAAAGACTTATATTTTTGATATTTATTTTATATATTTAAATACCATTTAACAAAGAAAAATCAACCAAAAAAATGAGTTCGCATGTCACCTCTGACACACGTGTCATATGTTTGCCATCACTGGTGTAGGAGATTCATGTGACCTGCTGCGAGTACATAAAAGTATAAAACGGTAAAGCCTCCACATTAGGAGTCTAGTGAACCTTATTCTGTCCCCAGAGCTGTGTGACCCTGGAGCAGAGCTCCCACTTAATAAATAGTGGCTTGCCCTGACTGGTTTGGCTCAGTGAATAGAGCGTCGGCCTGCAGCCTGAAGGGTCCCAGGTTCGATTCTGGTCAAGGGCATATACCTTGGTTGCGGGCACATCCCCGGTGGGAGGTGTGCAGGAGGCAGCTGATCGATGTTTCTCTCTCACCGATGTTTCTAACTCTCTATACCTCTTCCTTCCTCTCTGTAAAAAATCAATAAAATATATTTAAAAAAATAAATAGTGGCTTGTCATGGGGAACTCCCCTCTCCCCAAGCACTTTCC